GAGGCAAAGAAGTGGCGCGGCAAAGAAGCGGGACCCGAAGTGTGCGCATGCGCCGTTGGGTGCTTGTGTGCATCCCGTGGAGACTTAGGGGAAAAAAACCTTTTCACCACGGGACATGGGCGGCCACCGGATGCCACGAGCTACCACCAGAAACGTGATCAGACTCCCGCCCTTGCACCGCAGTTTTCGGAAACTAGTACCTTGGAGGTACTAGTTTTTTACAGCGCATCTTCGGTGGGAAGCCTCGGGTTCGCCATGGGAGCTCTACGCTTCCCAGATGTTGTGGTTTGATTGCGCCCAGAAAATCCGCCTATCTTCCGTCTCTGTAGCGTGGCTAATGCTCCGTGTGACAGCAGCCATTATTTTTCTTTGCTTTTCATTGCATTTCCCCTTCTCCCTTATCCGCACAACTGCACTTAACTTGCTGTAGGTGGTCCTGCTGCTATGGTTCCAGGCCAGCGCTGGGGGCAATATCAACCAGACAGATACAGGTCCAGCTGGAACCCAGTCAACAGGGTTCTAGGAACCATAGACCCACTTTCCAAGGTGATGTGCCTTGATGCACCCCACAAACTGCAGCTAGATGTTGATCAGACACCCAGGGACTGTATTTCCCCAGGAATCATGAAGGTGTAGTGCCTCAGAATCTACAGCAAAGGTTTCTGAAATGTTGGGACAGGGCGATGGGGGGAGGGAAGACTAATATAACTCCCACCCTCTTGTTTGGTAAGTTTCCAACAGTTTGGATCCATTGCTGTTTTGAGATGAGGTGGAGGAGGGAAGTGAGGAAACAGGAGCAAATGGAATGAACAGATTTGAATAATAGTAGCAACCAGGAGTAATAATGAATGAAGGGATATAATCTGTTCATTGCCACTCTCCCACAATCCTATGACACCCATGGAACTCTGACTTGCCACGTAGCCCCCTATTAAATGGTCTTCCGTTGCATCCACAGGAAGTACATCCTCCTAGCTTTTTGCCTGCCATACATTTTCCTACTTTATAAATGCAGAGAAAGCATTTGATTGTATTGAATTGAATTATTTACAGGAAATTTTGAAGTCCTTTGATTTTGGAGTGTTTGGGGGGGTGTTTTCCCACTCATTTGAGAATGACTGCTTACCCCTTCTCACAGGTGGATGTGAGCCAGAAGGCCTACTTTAGAATATTTACCATTGATACCATTTCTCGGCATTGGGAGGAGCCTAGGTATTATGAAAACTTCTGGCCCTATGGAAAGTCATATTGTTAATTACTGTGTATTTTGAAATTTCTCTCTGGGACAAAGTGACTTACTCGAGAACTGTGGTTTTTTCTTGAAAAAAAGGCCAAAGCTGGTCCTTGAACTCAGAGAAATCAAAGCTGCTTCACCATGCTTGTATATTTCTTAACCCACCATTCCTTGCTAATATCTTACTGTCTGAGAATATATTCACAATGGATCTTTCTCTTCTTAGTGGATCAAAGGCTATCAGTGTCTTCAGGTAACTGGACATGGGCCTTTCTTGAGTGTCCTTAATACTGTTAATCCAACCACTAAAAGGGCAAGACTATGACACCGTGGGAAGACACTCTTGCTTAAGGTCATAAGAAATGCCTTGTAGGTTCAGATCAAGATTCACCTGGCCTAGTTCCCCTTCCCAAGAAAGTCACCAACTAACCTCCCCTTCATTCCTCAGTCCAATAAACATAATTTGCTTGCAATCATCTTTGAATATTATTGCCTTCTTCCCCTCTTGCTCTCTAGACTCCCTCCTGTTTGATCCCATTATTGGAAATTAGAATGCAAGATCCCTGGGACAGATACAAGTTAGAGTCTGCAATTTTGTTGAACCTGTGGGCACAACAAAACGGCTGCCAGAGGATGGGAGGGACCAATAAAAAATGGCTGCCAAGGAAGCGGTGTCTGGTCTTAAAACATTGCTAGGTTCCACAAAATGTTAGGCAGTTCTAACTAAAGCATCTTCATATCATGGAAGGAGCTGTTTCTGAATGGGTACTCTCTGCAGACACAAAAGTGATACCACAAGGGCTCTTCTGAGCAGCTTCTGCTCCAGCAAGGTGAAGGAAAGACAGAAAGGGCTCTTTGCACTGATGAGGAGATGATTTGGGGAAAGAGCAAGCCAGCATCAAGAAACACATTGGTGGATATCATAGTATCACCGGGCACCACGTTAGGGATCATTGGTAGAAATATTCACCTTATTATTGATTACTATTTTTGCAACAAAAGGAGCCATGGTACACTGAAAGGGAGGTCTAAGATTTGCTATCTGAGTTACAAAGTGATTTTACTACAGCTGCCAATGTTTCTACACATGCAAAGTTTCTTGCTTATTTTCATCACTTAGTACTCAAGAAGACTTATCCGCTAAAGAAACAGAGTCCAGCTTAAGCAAAATAATCAGTTCAGCTCTCAAATCTGAAAATTCAGGGCAAAAGAAGATGATTTATGAGTCAATCTGGTCAGTACCACATCTGCAGAATCTATTAGCATATGGAATACCATTAAACCTTCCTAACAATATTGCTGAGAGCAAGGCATTCAAATGCACAAGCTACAGGGCTATTTTGGGGCAGGAACACACAGGAACGGAGTTCCGGCTGGCTCCCAAGTTGGCCACGCCCAGCAGGAACTCATTAGAATAATAGGCCACACCTAACAGCAGAAACTCCTTAGGATTGGCTACATTAGGGGTGTGTGGCCTAACATGCAAAGGAGTTCTTGCTACAAAAAAAGCCAATAAGAAGGGAAAGGTGGGTGTGGCTGGATGACCACACGTCTGGTAACATGGGGGTGCGGCCTAATATGCTAATGAGCTGTGCTGTCAGGGGTGTGGCCCAATATGCTAATGAGTTTCTGCAGTTGGGTGTGGCCTATTATGCTAATGAGTTCCTGCTGGGCTTTTTCTACAAAAAGAGCCCTGCACAAGCATAAATGCCCTCCTATACTTTGGAGGAGATCATTCAAACAGGTAGTTTGGCATTTTTATCAGGGAAAAATACCAACTGAAAAGGATGAACATACTTTTTGAGTTCTCACCAGCATACTCCTATAATCAGGATCCCTCTAATGTCTTTTGATTGACTGACTCGGTTCACAGCTACTCATAGTTTCTATCATATCTCTGGTAACGCACAGATGTAATAATGTAAATTCCAAGTATTTATCCCAATCACTTGTATGATGATCCAGCATAACTAATCCAAGAAGACCTGATTCTAAATTCAATTTCAGTATCCTGATTTTCAGAGTAAATGCTCTCCACCAAGCCTTTGCTTCAGAAGACATCTCCCCAGTCCTGAGTCTCGGCTTTTCTTGCCATGCATCCCAGGATACTGTGTAAAACTCTTAGTTAACAGTCCATCAATATTATCTTGTACCACACTAATCCAACCCCCCCACACACACACAGCATACAATAACTGCCCAGAAATTTAGCATTAAATTCTTTAACTGCTGAAGCCACATACTGTCCCCCGTAGGAATTATGAAATCTTGAAAATGCCTTCCCAGTACTCGTGGCTGTTCTTAGAACAGAGTTCACATCCCCCTTCCAAAGAAAGTTTTGCTTGAAATATAATTCCTAAATATTTAAATTGCTCTACTTGTTCCATAGGCTAACCTGCTACTGCCCACTTGTATTTCCTTGTCCGTCATTTTTTTTTTTTTTACTAAAGAAAAGGCGCATTGGCTTAGAAACATTAATAGTCCCTCTCTGAAGCAATACTCTGAAAAGGAGGCTATAAGTTTATGTAGGCCAACCACAGATCTTGAGGGATGAGCTGTTCCATTCCCCTACAGAGGAGAGGGCAACTTAACATGAGCTAGATAAGGCAGATGGAATTCATCTCTGGAAATATAACAGTTTAGGGCATTGATATACAAATTAAATAACAGAGGAGTGAGGATACATCCTTGCTTCACTCCTTTGCTCAACACAATAGCTCTGTTTGTTCAATATCCTTTTGGAGACAGAACCTTACATGGCTTTGTTATGGTGACCAGTCAGGATTAGAACCGGAGGTTCTTGACATAGCTGAGTTTCCTTCTAGCTTTCCTTTTGAAGGAACAAATGACAACATCTAATCTAAGTTTGTTGCATTTTCATATGATGGCCCCGGTCACACGAGCAGGAAACCGCGGGGGGGAAGCATGGCAGTGTGCCCCAGGGCAAACTAAGGCGCCGTTACCTGACCAGACCTCCCGTGGAGGTACCGTGGAGGTACCGTGGAGGTCCCGTGGGAAGGGAGAGGTACCGATCGCAGGACAATCCCGTGCGCAAAAACGAAGCGCGCGGTTCGGCAAACTGGATAGTTTTTTTTTCTGTACAGCAGGACTGCGCATGCTCCGTGGGGTGCTTTTGCGCATCCACGAAGACCTGGGGAAAAAACTGTTTTGCAAGGACGGGAACATGGGCGGGCGTCGGATGCCACCGGAAGCGCGATCAGACGCCCGCCCTTGCCCCGCGGTTTCCGGTTACTAGTACCTCCGAGGTACTAGTTTTTTGCTGCGCGGTTTCAGCGGGAAGCCTCGTTTGAGCCACGGGAGTGCTACGCTTCCCAGACGTGCCGGTGAGATCGCGTCCGGAAACTCCGCATGTCTTCCGTCTGACTAGGGTGGCTAATGTTCCGTGTGACCGCAGCCGATGTAGGGGAAAATTTTCTTAAATGGCAGTATTTACAAGGTGGTGTTTTACAGCTGTGCCCTGACACACTGACAAAACTGACCGTAGCTTACATTTTGGGGACAACTTGCCAAGGAAAATGTACAATTTCTGCTTCAAGAATTTTAAAGGATTTTAAAGGATTATTCTGGATCCAGTGTTCTATTGTGTGCTTTTTGAATAAGCTATGTAAAATATTATGTACTCTGGTATTGGAATATTAGCAACAGAAACAATCTTAAGAACAACAGAAACAACAGACATAGAAACATGGGTATACATATTTGTGCTGCAAGGATATCAGTATGGACATTATGTTTGGGAAGTGGTTTACTTCTCTACTTTCCTCCCAATCAGCCTCCATAAGGCTGCCTTCACATCTCTGTTTCTCAGGCTGTAGATCAGTGGGTTGAGCATTGGGGTCACGATCCCATAAAAGACAGCCACTATTTTGTCCCTGTCCGTGAAGCTTTTGGTCTGAGGCTTCAGGTATGCGGCCAAGGCAGTGCCATAAAAAATGCCCACCACGGCCAGATGAGAGCCACAGGTAGACAAAGCTTTCCCCTGTCCTTGGGCAGAGCGGATGCGCAGGACAGCCAGACCAACACGCCCGTATGTCACAAGGATGAAAACAAAGGGGAACAGAAGAGTGAAGACGCTTGTTATCATCATGCTAAGGCCATTGGCTTGAGTGTCGGAGCAGGCCAATTTCAACACTGCCTGGGCCTCACATGTAAAATGATTCACCACATTGCGGCCACACAAGCGTGCCTGCATGCTAAAAAAGGGGACAATGGTCAAGAGGAAAGAGCTGAGCCACAGGCTGACCGCCAGGATGATGCACGCCTTCTGGCTCATGATTAAGTTATAGTGTAGAGGTCTGCATATTGCCACAAAGCGGTCATAAGCCATGACAGCTAATAAGAAGCACTCAGCCACTCCCAAAAAAAGAGAGATGGTCATTTGTGCAAAACACCTTCCCAGGGGGATAAGGGCCTTGTCTGTGAAGCAGTGCGCCAGCATCTGGGGGACAGAGGTGGTGACATAGCAGACGTCAATGAAGGAGAGGTTGCTGAGGAAGAAATACATGGGTGTGTGGAGCTGAGGATCCATCACGATCAACACCACAATGAGACCATTCCCAGCTACGGTGATGGCATACATGACCAAGAAGAGGACGAACAAGGCAGCACGCACATGGGGCAGTCTGGAGAGGCCCACGAGCACAAACTCGGTCACTGTAGTTGTGTTATCCCAGTTTTCCATATCTCCTGCAAGAGGAAGATTGAGAAGCATAGTTTCATCCGCAGGAAATTTCGTTCAACGAACATGTTTATTCACCCTTTTGTTAAATGGCAGGAGCTTTATGTACACACTTTGTTAACCGCGAGGCATACATTTCAGCAAGCGATTGGGAGATGTATTTTCAGAGCATTTATGCAGAAGATGCTGTCCAGTCTTTTACATCTGAGCAGATTGACTTACCTGTATGGCCCCAGATTTCTGCCCCTGAAGTTAGAAATCTTCAGTTAAACTCAGGGCAGACTCTTTGAACTGTTAATATACCATCTGAGATGTTAAAGGATAATCTGGATTGGTGGGTTCCAGTGTTAATGGCTCTATTTTACATGGATTGATCGTACAGCCAGATTCTGAGTTAGCTATAATTATTCCAATTTTTAAGATGGGCTGTAGGTCGGATCCTTCTAATTATCAACCAGTTAGCCTCTTGTGTGGTGCTGCTCCTTGGGGTGTGGGGGTGCAGGCGAAGCAAAGACGACAGGATACAAGCTTGCAGGAACTGTCTGAAACCTCTTGGCTTCCCAGCATTTATTTATAAGCTCCGTTTTCCCCCCCTTTCCTCCCCCCCTCCTCTCTTCCTCCATCTATCTGCGTAGAGGAAAGTTTCAAGCATTCTAGCATCCTTAAGGAATGTTTGTGTGTGTGTGTGTGTGTGTGTGTGTGTAAGCTCTATGTTATCTGCCAAGGTCACAACACTGACTGCGTAGGAATCACCAGACTTCTCATGCTGTTAGCACACAAATACATCTGGGTTCCCAATCTCCAGGCAGGAGAATCCTGCACTGCCCTACACTCTTGAGTGTTATTAGTAAATTGTATGTGAGCATCTGTTAAAGAAGATGTTGGATTGGCTTGAGGAGGAAATATTCTTGCAGACGAACAGGCAGGTCTTAGAAGCGGATGTTCAACAATTGACCAGGGCTTAATTCTACAGCTCCTTGTAGATAAATACGGTCATTCAAGAAGAGGAACTGTACTCATTGTTTTCATTGATTTTAAATTAGCCTTTGACTTTATATCTAGAGATAGATTATGGGCAAAGGGTTAAAATGATTGTTGAGAGAGTTGGCAGATTTTTATGATAAAGGTTTAACAATTAATTTTAATAAGTCTAAATTTCTTATTTTCGCCAAAGAGAAAAATAGATATAGATGGTCAATTACAGGAAGTAGCATTGATCAGGTTAAATGTTACAAATATTTAGGGGTAATTTTTCATGGTTCTGGTACCTGGTATGCCCAATTAAAGTGTATCAAGACAAATGCCCAAAGGAATTTAACAGTGTTGTTGATTGTTTTTAAGTTTTAAGTTTTATTTATGGCCAAAGCCAGCAATTAACATTTAAGACACAACAAAATTAATAGTAAAACACCTTTGAATGAAAGTAAAAGAAGCTTAAAACAGCAGTAAAATACAAATTCTTAAGAGGTATACAGTTAACTGTAAGATGATTAACTTGCTACACTATTATAGATTTTCTAATTCTTAAAGCACTCCATCCAAATCTAGCCACTTGATGTGTTACCTCTGAGTGCCTCTCTGCGAGAAGATTTTTCATAATACAGACTCTTTGCCTACTAGTGAGAGGAAAAGACTTGGGGAGCGGAAGAGATTTACGAAGATTATTATAGGCCTTACAGTCGAACATAACATGTTCTAAATGTTCAATGCCTTTGTTACAGCAGGGGCATATGCGTTCCTCAAAGGGGATTTTCTTGTACTTTCTCTCTGTATTCGCTAGAGGAAGAACATCCCAGCCCATAAGTGTAAACATTCTCCTATATTCGTGGTTTGACTGATGGTGAAAATAGGCCATAGGACTTACTCTGTTGATAGGATCAAGAAGTGTATGCCATTTCTCTGTTCTACCTATATCGTTCTGCCTATCAGTATCTGTAATCCTCTGTTTTATCATTTCTGTAGCTTGTCATAGGCAAGGCAACACAGATATTGTTTTGTGAGGGCAAAATAAGGGAGTTTTTCCTCTATAGAGCCTTAACCCAGGGGGGTATTAAGGTGTCTTGTAATATTAAATATGTCAACCCGTTCATCAATCAAGGCAGAAAAATCTCCTCTATCTGAAGCTACAGAAAATGGGGCTTTCACCTAGGGATCTCATGAATTTATGTTATACAAAAACCTCATCTGTGATCAGCCAAAGAATTCAAGATAAACAGCTACAATAGCATTTCAGCATTGCCAGGAGATACTATTATACTGAGCATAAGCAATTTGTGCCAGCAAACTATTTGGGGAATCTTATAGCTCTGAAAACAAGATTTGCTTTTTCTCAGGGTCTATTTAATGTTCTCCTTTGTGAGTTGTTAAACATCAAAGTGTAAAACATTATCTGCTAGGAGGACATCAAAAAGCCCGTATTTTGAATGGAATTGCCCTGCAGTAGTCAAGAAGTAGAACTGACAGGGCACGTTCTTCTACATTGTCCTCTTTACATAGAAATTTGATATGAGCTGCTTTTCCCCATTCTACAAAAATTCCCAGGAAGAACAGAAAAATCTTAATGTCCTCCTAGCAGATAAATACCATCAGATTACGGAGAAGGTAGCTAAATTTTGCTCAATAGCAAAATCTACCTGTGTTTCATTGGGAAACGAGAAGCACTGAGAAAGTCTCTTTCCCAGGACTTGGACTGGAGAGCCCAAAGTGTCCAGTTTGGAACCATCTCGCTATCCTAAGATACCTCTGGGTGTTCATGTATTTTAGGGAACTTGTACTATCTGGCATTGTATTTCTAAATGGTCTGTGTTGGTCGTTTTATGGGTTTACCTGTTGCCTTAAGAATCCGTCAATGTGGTTTGGGCGAAGTGGATGATATTGAGCACTATTTACTGAGATGCTCATGGCACGAATCACTTAGGCAGAGATTTATATACCCTATTTTACCTTTGCACAATGGATTCTCAAAACAGGAGTTAGTTGTTTTTTTGCTCTCTGATATGGATGTTTATGTTACCAGCAGAATGTCCCTGTTTGCTTTGGCGGCAAAAAAGATAAGATTAAGCCTAGGATTCAGCGCAAGTTAGTGAAGGGATAACTTAATGTGATGCATACGGATTGTGTTTGTATTTATGTTTTGTTATGGCCAATGGCTAATACAATAAACTTGATGATGATGATAATTAAAAAGGAATCACTTACCTCATCTGTTGCTAAGGCTTCAACAGAATCATTCTACTATCCCTTTATGATGGCATTTCACCACAACTTAATCCCTGTGGCCATTTGTAGGGAAGTGCCAGGTCAAAGAAGAACTCAGGCAATATAAGCACCAACTCGTGTGAATAGCTGTAAAGAGGGAGGGGACCAGTTCCAGACCTGAAATCAGCCCAGTATTGTAAGACAGCAATGCTGATGCCCCCTTAGGACAAAACAGTATCAGCTTCCCTGACAGGAACTATTCCAAATGCAGGAAAGAGGAGTAGTTTAAACAGGGTATCGAACAACAGATAGGATGGGTTTATCAGTGGGTGTTAGTGATCACAGGTAACTGTGACTATCATATTCTGAAGCTCTCTGGACACCAGCCATGGAGTAGAAGCAGCCTCATGCAACATCTCAAGTTTATCCCTGAAACGGATGCAATGAATGTGATGTATTATTGCTGCTTCTCCTGAAAAATGAATGCCAGCTTTTGCTAGCCACTGATGGAAGCAGAATGCTGAAATCAGTGGAAATTTGGTTTAGCCTCTTAGGTTAGCCAGTTTTCTGCCCTTTGATTAATAATCTCTGTAGAAGCAATAGTTGTTACTAATAACCCAATATCAAGGGCCTGATATAGCTGCATCTGAAGTAGCATCATATTTCTGGATACTGAGGCAGACATCTAGCCTTTCGTAACTGATCTTCATGTTACATACCATGTTTCATTTTAAAAAACCACAAAGAGATGTATGCTTTTCTCTCTCCAAAATGCTTTCTTTGTCACAACATTAAATCCTTCCACTCCTCATCCCTATACCAAAAACGTGAACAAAATGATTTCCCAACCACACAATAAGTTCTGCATTGAAAACATATACAGTGTTCAGTCTCATTCATGCTTACTTAAGTTCCCACTGAGGTCAACCAGGCTGTGTACAGTTCTGGTCACCGTATCTCAAAAAAGATACGATAGCATTGGAAAAGGTGCGGAAAAGGGCAACTAAAACGATTGAGGGGATCGAACACCTTCCCCATGAAGAAAGGTTAAAGCAGTTTTTTAGCTCATAGAAATGATGACTGAGGGGTGACATGATAGAGGCTTACAAAATTATGCTTGGGATAGAGAAGGTAGAGAAAGTAGCACATTTCTCGCTTTCTCACAATACAAGAACTTGTGGCCACTCAACGGAATCAATGAGCAATAGGCTTAGAAGACATAAAAGAAAGTACTTCTTCACCCTCAGAGTAATTAGAACATGGAATTCACTGCCGCAGGAAGTGGTGGCAGCTTCAAGAGGGGATTGGATAAGCATATGGAGCAGAGGTCCATCAGTGGCTGTTAGCCACAAGGTATAGAAGGAACACTATGTCTGGGGCAGTGATGCTCTGCATTCTTGGTGCTTGGGGGGCAACACTGGGGGGGCTTCTGGAGTTCTGGCCCTGCTGCTGGACCTCCTGTTGGCACCTGGGTTTTGGCCACTGTGTGATACAGAGTGTTGGACCGGATGGGCCACTGGCCTGATCCGACATGGCTTCTCTTGTGTTCTTATGTGAGTTTCCCAAGAATTTATCATGTGTTAGATGCCAGAATAAGAACCGCACTAGAAATTCAGTAGCAACCCAAGACCTGGGAATCAGATTCTCCATACAATATATTAATCCTGTGAAGGGCTTCTACACCCACAATTTAAGAACGCAAGACTGTGAAGCTGTTTGAGAATCTATCAAGGTCAGTTTTGTCTACACTAACAGGCAGCAGTTCTCTCGGGACTTAAAGGCAAAAGTCTTTCACATCACCTACTACCAGATCATTTTAACTGGAAATGCTAGGG